TCTCTAAAATTAAGAACAAACACTTTTGACTGTGATGGTTGGCATGTACTCAAAAGTCAAGCACTTGGTCATTTAATGTAAAGTACATGTTATCTCAAAAAGTGTCTCTTGACATCTTCCTCTTTACAAAAGTTTCTCTGATACTCTGTCATCCACCAGGTTTTTGGAAATGCAACATCCACATCAAAATGTGCTGGTGTTTCCTTCTTTTTTACTGCTTCTTCTCGCAGTTGAGCTTTCTTTTTAATCTCTTGTTGTCTTCTTTTCTGTGCACGAAGAGCAGCAGGATACACCTGAAGGGAGAGTTTCAAAACTGATTTAACCACCCAGTAAACAAATTATTAGTAATAATGAACATGGCCATTAATACTTTACTTGATTAACTTTACTTTACCCCCTAAGATCAATAGGTATATTCTTTGTACTATTCTGTACTCATTTCCAAAGGTGCTAAAAAGGAGAATTTGTTTAAAATTCAAGAGCTTCTTTGGCCTAATTCTCATGGCCTAATAATGAGTGGGTGAAAGAATTCCTCCATAGAACTTTAATACATTTTTGGTAAAAAAGGTGAGGAGAAGATGGAATTAGATCAACTGATGGGTGATTTCTTAGGTTAATGCCAAATGTTTAAAGCTAAAATGAACAGACAGTACAGAGACTTGATCATTAGATCTTGGAAGCAAGTTGTTGTAAGTACGACAAGAAGCTTTTTTCCGCCATTAGCACTTAAATAAATTATTTAACATTCATTGCACTCCAAAAATTAGTTCCTTAATTAACAAAAAGAAACAAACTCTCACTGGAGGATTTGAAGACGTACATCTCCGCATAAGATTCATTTGCCAACAATTTTGCCTCATAATAGGTCAAACTATATGCTCTAAAGGTTACTGCTATGATTACCTCCCGACAATATTCCACCGACAACATTGTTTTTAAAATTAACTTAAATCTTTATTTGTTTACTCGCCTCGGGCTGTGAAGCCAGCACATTATGAGTTTTCCACATGTCTACAGGTCCTTCGTTAGCCATTCCATAAGGGAGAAAGGGCGCTTTCTTTCTTCTATCCCTAGAGATTGGATCCTTTTCCGGTGAATTCGAGTGTGATCGCTGTTTCTTTTCATCTCCCGACGATCTGTGATGTTTACGCCTGTGATCTCTGCCACCGCGAGACTCACGTTCGTTTAGTCTCGCGTCCTCCGCAGAACGCGTATATTTTGGTTTTTCTTCTTTCTCTGCTTCGTCAAACTTAAGTCTTTCGGGCAAAGGTAAGGCTCTTTCAGCATGATCTTTCTCTTTGAAATCTTTCTCCTCTTCCCATGCGTTCTTTGGCGGTTTTTTATCAGCTTTTTTCTCGTCTAGATGAAACTGACGGCGTCCCCCATCATAACTGCCATCGTGTGCCGGAATCTCTTCAATATCTTCTTCTTCTTCACTTTCGCTGTCCCACCTCCAAGGCTGATGGCGATGTTCTATTGACCTTCGATCTGACCTATACTGCAACTTACTAATAAATTCTTCCTTACCATAATCATCCCACAGAGGTTTTCTATAGGCCCGTCTGTAGGCTGAACTGTACACCATCTTGCATTCACGCTCGACGAAGTGTGGGAAGCGAAGCCTGGATAGTTCTGTTCTGAATCCTGATTGGACACTTCGATTCCCGTTGTCATGGACGCCATGTGCAGTCAAACTTTTCCCGCGAAGGGAATATTTGGTTGGTCATGGTTCATGACTTCCAATATTATCTCTAGAGTGGTAAAACAAAACTTCTCGCTTTACCTATTGATCTATTTTATCAGTCTTTGGTCGGCCAAGGGCATTTACCAGTAGGCTAACGATGTTTTTTTTTTCGCTATTGCAGTTGCCGGACATGCATGGAATTATTTGCAAGAGGAGTTGATTGTTTGTTCTTTTCTCGCTGCATTTCATTTCGATTTGACCGCCGTGAGGATGATTAAAACCCAACTCTGTGGTCAGCCTAATTCTCAAAACTCCAGCTACAGATAAATATTTGTGATGCTGTAGGTACTTTCAAAGTAATGATACACCTAAAAAAATTATTTATTTTTCATTTAGCCTAAGTTTATTAAAATCTATATCTTAGATCTGTGTTAATCCTTTCTTTACCCGTTCTTGTCCCATAAAAGATTATTTTTTGGTTCTCGAAATTGGCAAGGCTCAGTCAGTTAAGAATCCTACACGAAAAGGTGCAATGCCGCATTTTTATAATAGCTTTAACTCAAAAGGAAATGGTGAGGGACAGACGCTTAATTTTGCTTAAAACTGACTCCTACGGTTACATTTTGCTAAAATATGTGATATAATTTGCGTATTTTTGGCAGCTTACCAGGCAGGCGCTTTCTAGGGCGTTTGATGGAAGGAGCCTGAACAAATCAGTTCCTCTCGCTACTAGTTAGGTGAAGCTGGACCTTTTATCTGAGAGCTTCAACAGTGTGCGGAAGGCGAAAAGTTAACAATGGAAGAACAATCATTTTAATTAGTTAAATTAACTCTCTTATAGAGAAAACCTGAGGACTACTGATTGAGTAAAACAGTGATTGGGGTCAGACCTCGAGTAAATAACCGGCCCATATTATCTAGGCGGGGACGGGCTCGAATCGCGTTCAGGCTGGAATTTTTCAGGCTCTCATTATAAAAATCTGCAATTGGTAAAATTGCGGTCCACTTGTGCTCTTTGTTTAATTATGGATCAGAAGTTTTCAGTTTTCCAGGTTCTTATGAAATCTTTAGGAAAATGCAAATTATGTCGTTACTATTATTCAAAGAGCTGAATATCATAGTTAAATAAAACCAAGCGTTTACTTTGTTTAATTTAAGATCTTTATTTTGATTTAACAACAACTGTCAAAATTTTATCAGCAAAAATGAAATCGCCAATCGCAATCTCGCTCAGTATCACCTGAATTTCTATTGAAACAAAACAAAACAAAAAAAAATGGATCATTTGCTTGCGGTTGTGAACATCTTACTGAACCAAGATGTATCCCATGGCTGGGGTGGTCTTGTCTCCATTGTCACCACCATGTCGCGCTACGTTCCCACACGACTGGTTCTCGTCAGGATACCCTGCAGTACCAAATCCAATCCTGGAATCATTAGTGTTGCAATCATTCTCGTTATTACTAGTGATACCAATTCTTGCCCTTGAAAGGTTATCTCGGTCGGCTTTAGCATTGAACCCTTCTCTGTTACAGTTACGCTGTAAGGAGGCGTGGGGGCCAATCAGATCCTTCCACGCGTCTCGTCCCAGTGAGGTGGCCCGATATTCGCCATCAGCGATCAGTGAATGGAGAGAGGTGGCTTGTTGGTCGATGACTTGGAATCTGACTGGATCATTTCCAACCTTCATACCAACACAGATCTTAGAGAAGGGTGTTTTCCAGTAGGTCGATAACTTTGTTTCGTGTGCGTCAAACCCAGTCTCCCCGCCATGAGTGTTAAACGTTATCAGGTCGGTCCACAGGGCAGAATCATAAGTGAAGTGTTTCTAAAAAATCAATTTTTTAACATGACGTTTAACAAAAAAAAATATTGATGAATGAATGAATAAATAAATCAAGGGTAAAAAACAGACAAATATCATCACTTGATAAATAACTGGACAGATAGATGGATGGATTGATGAATGACTCGGTGAATCGAATAAACGAATCAGTGAAAAGGAGAATGAATTGATGCACGAATGAAGTAATTAATAAATCAATCAATCAATCAATCAATGTATTGATGTACCCGATGTATAGATGTGTTAAAACCTTCCCAACACATGATCCACGACCTACTGTGATTTTTCTTCCCTCCCCCAGTTTTTACTTTTAATCCCTGAAAAGTGTCTTTAAGCAAGAAACTTTTTTTTTCTCCGCAGCCGTCAAATTTGATTTCAACATAGGAAATTCAAATTGTAAAGCAATTCTTAAAAAAAAAAAAAGGAAGGTCGGAAACTGAATTGTTGACGCGCAATTTTGTTTCTTTGACTAATCGGAAGTGAATGACCCTTGCTAATCACTTCCAAATCAGCCAATCAGCGCGCGCGAAAAGTCTTATTAAACTGTATGGTATGTACTAAAAGATGAAGTAAACTGTCTTGGGTACTAGATAGAATAGAATGCTCTCTTTTTTCCCTGAGTCCTTTGATAAAGACCACAGTTTTTATTTCGTGATCGTTGCTATTGTAACTGATACCTTTGTTCCGTCTATTTTCATGACCATCGTCCATCCACCTCCTCCGCAGCCTTCAAGTGGAGTCACCTGACAGAAAACGGGCATCTTTTTGCCTCCAACATCCAGTGTGTAGGCTTTGTTTCCATCGGATCTGATCGGAAAACAGTATTCATGAGACTAGCAATATCAATGGTAATAACAAAAGGTACACCTACAGTAATAATAATTTATAATAGTAAGTGTTATGAAAATAGTTATAGTGAGGGTAGTTGTAATTGAGGGTCATAGAAATATTTTAGGGAATGCGTTAAAGGAGAGGTCTCCGGAATATTTTCTCCCCACATACTTATTTCCAGATACCTATACTAGATCCAAGTTAACTAGTATTGTAATCTGCTATTGGAATATCCTCCGTTAGACTCAAAATCTAGTGGGCGGTCGAGCTTTGTGGCCCTTGTCCTAATAAACTTAGTTACGATTAAACGAGTTTCCCGGTGTCCACATAAAATGTCTCCTAATGAAGGTTAGAGAAGTACTGTATGGATTGTTCTTTCTTGTAACTGAGTGTTTTAAGTTCGATCCCAGCTGACTCATTATGTTTCCAGTTTTTGGTGGCTCATTTTCCTCTTAGCACACTCATGCCGCGCGCGTTATGTTGACGACTAGGGACTAGACTTCGAGTAGTCTTCAATACTCAGCACCAGTTTCTCCTTCCGCGCGTCTCGCTTCCGAGAATTCATGTGGTGCAAAGATATTAATTTTTAGTCGATTTATATTAACTACGTGACGGATTACGCTGGGAAAGATTAGTTACTGTTTGTAGTCTGACTGAGCAAGAGTCAGTTTTGATACGAAGCTCCGCCTCAAACCTCAACTCACCGTGTCTTATAGAGGTGTTCCGTATTACAACAATTAATTATTTTACGTGGTCTTGATCTAAATTCAGCTTCATCATATACTAACCTTCCATTGTCCACAACTTCCTTGCAAGACTTGGGCGTAGTCTCTAGTGCACGACCTGGAATATGGTATCAAAAAGAAAAAAAAACTATGAACTATCTCATGGCTTCAAGCGGGTTGGCCGCTTATTTCAATCTATGATTAATCTCTCCTGCTCATAAGTTCCTCTAAGAGTTTTTGGCGAGCAGAAAACATATCTTAAATGGAGACAAATTTGTAATGTCCCTCAGTCGCACGATAGTCTTACACAGTCATCTGTATAAAAAATTTTGTTTAAGATTTCACTCCAACCAAGTGGCTCTCTTGGCGACAGAGATTAACTCCTAGTTTTTCTTTAAGAGTCCAAGATGAAGAGAGACATTGTGGGAATTAAGTTTTGTGCTTAAAAACACAACACAACACCCGGCCAGGCTTCGAACTCAGATCTCTCGACCTAGCGCACCAGGCTACCATGTGTCAAATAGTTCTAATTATGGAAAAAGGGCTCTCCCTTAGTGTGGAAGATACGGATGAGGTAAAACAACAGAGAACAAGAAAGACAAAAAACAAGAAAAACAATGGAAACAAAAGGTTAGTAGCCAGAAGTCTCTCAGCAAGTTGCTGTGCTTAAGCCTATGAAAAAAAAATTCCCTTTGAATCAAGAAAAAACATCTATTTTGCTTTCATCCTTCTCCATTACAACTATTGTTCTGAGACCTGGCGCTTCTGCAGTAAAACTACCAGTACAAAAACCGGCTCTTTTTTCACTTAACGAACGTGCTCTCCGACCCCCCGATTTGTTTCTAACGAAAAAAAATGCACACAAAATCAGGAACAACTCAAAAAGATAGGCATACTGGCATTGACTAATCAAAGACTCGCAAAAGTAATGTGTACGGTTTTTAGAGATATTTATTACGATCATTTTTAAAAGCATAAAAAAAAGTTATTAAATTTTAAATACGATTTGAGGAGAACCAACATTCTAAAGCTGCAACGCCACAACTTACGGACTGAATCGTGGCGTTACGTAGCGCCAAAGCAGTGGAATGTGCTACTAGAGTCGCACAGAACCGTTGGAACTTCCAAGGCCTTCAGTACAGTATAAAAACATCGCTCTTTTGGGCTTTTTAACCTAACGTTTTTATTACTGTTATATTATTTTAGTATATACGATTATCGTTTTTACTTCTTAGCATAACATGATATAACTTTACATTGTATTTTATGATCCTGACTTCATCTTTTTCAAAATTTCAACATTTTTATTCTTATGTTAGAGTATTTACTTCTAAATTTAATTTTTATTCATGTGGAGTACCTGTAAATTAGCTGGCGTGGCATTTTATAATGTAATGTCACACATGAATAGCTAAACGCATGACACAATAAACTTGTGTTGCATATTTTATGTAAGGAGGCTGTGTTCTATTGTGACGCGTCCTGTGCCTTCTGCACTAAGAAGGGGCCAGAATCTCATTTACCTCCAGCACATTGAAGAACTTGTGCTCGTATCAAATCCAGCAACTCATCCACCTTTTTACCCAGCGTGCTGAAAGGATTGACAGGACTAAAGTCGCCTCCTGAACAACAACTTGACGAGCTGTCCTGTTCGCATTGATCTTTAACAGCAACAAGAGACCCAGCTATGGAAGATATCACAGCTGCGACTAACCAAACCTTCATTATGGAGGCACTAGAATCTGTGCACTTAATGAAGAGAAATCAAATTAATATCATATCAATCAAAATACCTCGTAGAGGGTCAAAATTCAAGAAAATTCCATAACCCCTAAAATATTGTGAAGGCGATTTTATTTGAATATTTACATCACAACATTTGTTCAATAAATTGGAAAGCTTAAATAGCATTTCATGATCCAGGCTCAATTGGCTCTGGACGTGAAAGGGTGAAAAGTGTAAGTTCTATTCACCAGAATTTGTCTTCCTACGGAGTCATTTTGTCATATGGATAACACGAATATATATCATCAGATTAATTTCTGTAAGAATAATGGCGCAGCGTTAGCTCCAGAAATCCAGAAAGAACTCAGGAGATGTTTTTTTTTAAAAAGGATGAGCTAGATATTCATTGTGGTTCAACGTTAAGTCCAAAGTTAAACCGAATTTAAATTGCTTGTGGGAAGACACAGAGTCACCATCAACTGAAGCAACGTACGTTCCTCTGCTATTCTGATATTTGTGGTCACGCAGTCACGTCCAAGGATTACGGAACATTTTGGCACGTGCTCATTATTTCCTAACTTTTAATTAGTGCAGGCATTGAGGCGTGTTTTGTTTTCGCTTATGATTGTAAGAGTTCACGCTTGAGGAATTTTGTTTCTTCTGGTTAATCTCTGTTCATGGAAATACGTGGATATCGATTCTTTCACTCTAAGGCTTTACCACACGTAAACCGACAACGCGATCATCATTTTTAAAGATGTGTGAAAGACTGTGCCCTGCTCTGTTGTAAAGCACACAGGAAGCGGCCAGAGCACGAAAGAAGTGTAAGGGAAAACAATAGATGGAGTCGAGTGGTTTTTTTTACTTCTTGAATAAGCATTTATAAATTTCGATAGAAGAGGTTTGTTTGAAGTAAATATCCTTCTTGACAATGATCGAAAGTGCCATTTTTAAAATGAAACGTTAGGCTGAATCGAGAAAATTTTGGAAATGCGGTTTTATTACAATTAACAACGTTACCGCAATTAACAACGTAGTATTCACAACGACTGAAATCTGTGGAATTAGCCGTTCCTAAAAAAATTACTTTGTGCAAAATGATAACTTAAATTTTGTTACCAAACCCACGTTCAGGAGAGCTTAACTACTCAGAAAATAAGTAAGTAGCAAAAAAAGATATATCGATTTACCAAAATGATTATCATTAGTCCAAGAGTTTGTAAACTTGGGAAAAAAATTAATGATAACATTACTATGGAAGGTCAACGGTACATGAATAAAGAAAAAAATGATTTGCGTGCAGTTATACTAACCTGTTAGGCGCCGACGATTACTAAATCACGATCAAACAAACTGGTGTCACTACAGAATTAAACTAGAATACTATGATGGATTTTCTCCGCATTTATCACACACCAACAAGGAAAAAGTTGCTTTTGGACCAATATCATTCATTAGGGGCGTAAGACAATTCAATTGTCGAAATCAACCAATCAGTGATAAATTGGTTATTTACACGGAAAATTTGCGTGTGTATTTCGAACAGAAACCGTGCAATATCTGACGTAATTAACTTCCCTATTGTTTGATTATTCCGCATTTACCCAATTATGGATAGGAAGATACAAAAGCTTTGAATTCAAAACTACAACTAGCTTTTACAGAGGTGGTGTTTAATTCTTTCTGCTTCGATCGTCTCTTTGTTTTCGGCCCGATCCATCTATTAATGCGATTAAAATAAAAAAAAAAACAAAAAAAAAACAAGGAAAAAAAACAAAACAAAAAAGACAAAAGAAAAACAAAGACTGCGTGGAAATAAACATTCACGCAGAAAAAGGAACGACAATTTAAAGGTTATTTAAGCTACCTTCCATGCAGCTTTGAACCTTGGGGGGTTAGTTACCGCAAGGAACCACTCCGTTGTATGTAAATACCAGCTGTTGTGATATATATTTCGGAGGGGACCGTGAGAGTTTAGATGGTGCGCCTCTGCGTTATTTCAGGAGCAATTTTGGGCAAATTTTTATTTAAACCTGCGGTTTTTACAAACTTTACGTTGCAGTAATCGGCCTTGAGTTATTTCCCCCTCTTTTTGTTGTCTATTTTTCTTGTGCTGAACGACGCTTGAAAATTATTAATTTTTGCTTCAGGATTCTGAAAAGTAGATCATCTCCAAAATGTGATTGTCCAGCTTGCTTTGGTGCTCTGTTTTGTTTAGGATCCAAAAATACTTTGTGATATTTTCGGGCTTCTTTCTTCTTTGCTCTTTCCGGAAACGTCTAGTAGTTGATAATTGTGTTCTTATGTTCTTTGTTTATCAATGCATATTTCCTTGCACTCTACTATTTAGCACCTCTTTAGGGTCTTAAAATTCTCTAGAATGATTTCTGGTCCCTTTCCATGTCGTTCCGTTTATGTAAAGTTTGTTGGCTGATGAGTGCTCTTTTGTCTTCCTTGCGTGTTCTACTTTCACTCTCGTTGATACAAATATGGAATACCAAAAGCCGACATAATCTGTAAAACAAAATTACACTTAAACTATAAAAACTTCATTTTTGGTTTAACAATGGAAGCCTTGGAATTAAACGCGAGATCAAAGTGAAAGACCAAAATCTGACCATTGTTAAAGAGCAGTGAATTTTTATCCTTTCGAGTGTAAGGTATGCAATACAGACTACGCCGGCTTCTTGGGTGGATGCTTTCGTTGATCTGCATGAGTTGGAAAACACACAGGATAACTCAATTGACGTCACTTACACATTGACGTACAAGAACAATGGAGGCGAGAAAGAGGAAAATGACAGCACCCTTTGTCGTACAAAAGTCTGCAGTTATTAACAGTTTTAGACCACCATGAATGATTTCCCTTTCTAATCTTTGCATCATGAGGACTATTTTTCCTTATGATGAATTTAAATATTGATCGCCTGATTTGATTAAACCGTTCTCATGGCTTGGCATCCTCTTTAAAATTTCTTTCTCCCTTTCTCGGAGAAATATCTCATTTGAGCATCGCACATCGTCAAAGGCGATGCCAGCCTTAAATGGCCGTCTTTGATGACCCACTTGACGTTTCAATATGGTTGTTTTTGTTGGTTTTGTGTTGCTTTGTTTGTTTTCTTGTTTGTGTATTTTGGCGTAAAAGCTACACTGGTTGCTTCCGATCATTCGAGACCAATGCCCAGTTTAAAAATTTGCATTAAAAAATAGTGGACTCCAGAATGAGTTATCAGATTTGCCACGAATCTAGCTTTTCTGATTAAAGGTAAGTGTCATTTATAGATGTGAAAGCTGTTTAATTTTATAAAGATAACGAGCTGTAATTCAGTGACTACTTATGGGTTTTCTATTCAGTCAGATATCATTGTTACATTCGATGTCCGTTTTCTGCTCTTTCAATGATCAAGTACCCACAACATGACTTGCAAATAATGGCCCATAAATATTATTGTGTAAATGGTATTTCATCTATTCTAAATTGCCTTTTTGCTCTGCCAGCTATTAAATGCGAATCGACAAGAATTGGCTAAAAAAGATGAAAGTTGTGAAGCAAGAAACAGCAACTTTCTACAACTGCTGTTTGGACATACGACGGGAAATCGACTGAACAAGTCACTGAAGCGAAAATGGAGCCAACCGCCTTAGCCTTTACTTCTTCTATTCAGCGCGCTCACCTCTCGACTGTGAATTTAAGGAAAAGACTTGTACGCAGTGAAGATCGAGTAGTAAGAGAATTATTGATCTCCGTTATCGTAGAAAATGGAAAATTGTCGGTATCTCCCATACTTATTCAACCGTGCCCAATCGTTTTTTAGTAATTATATGTGGGTTAAAATCATATAAATGCTTTCTTCTCCGCTAGTTCAATACAAGACACTTTCTTTTTTCTCTTTGAAACACTCATCACTTGATAACTTAAGAGCGATCCTTCAGAAACAAACCGCGATCACGTAATGTATTCTTAATTAAGTATTTACGATGAAAACATCAATCGGAATGCGGAATGCGGAGTTTTATTAGTTAAACTAATTTGTCAGACCATCGCGCGGCTGAAAACACGAAAATGTTTTTCTATGTGATGTATGCTAAATGCTTTAAGTCCTTACTACGTATTGAGATCAATTTGGGAGCCAACAAATTTAAAGAAACAGGAATTGTATATCCCTAAGTCATAATTAATCTGAAAATTTTTTTATCATTTTCTTCTTCATGTTATCAGTATTTGGACTAGATCAACCTTTGAATAAAATACAAAAATTAGTCCGGTTTTACGTTTCCGACAATGTTGCAACTAAAATCACTCTCAAGAAATTCTTCTGTCTACGTTTCAAGGGTCAGTAGTATTGATAGTGACAACTTTACCCTAACACGCCTTTCACTTCTAATATCTCATCAATGATTCCCCTTACAGTGTACCCTGACACAAGTGTTATGATACTAGTTTGGAGTATTTAGTATTGGATCAACCGGTAATCCCAATTTTTTAAAATTCTCATCACTAGTCTGCTTGATATTGTATTGATGTTATAAGGAGAATTTCTGTCTTGGTCAGTCGTGAGAGTTACAGCGGGGTTGATTTCGATTCTTGTCTTCTTCGTGCTGGTTGATTTATATTTGTAAGAAACAAGCACAGTTCTTTTCTCAACAACCTCTCGTTAGTACTCAAAAGAAAGAAATTTGCTTCTGTGTCTAAGATAAGGATAAGGTTTGGTTCGTGAAGCCGACATAGTTAATTTCGCATGAACCTCATTTGAATTGGCAAGCAATGCATTATTCTTAAATTGCAGCAGCGGTTACCTGATGTTGGAGCAATTTTGCGCGCCTTGATATGTGAATTTGGCTCCTCATTATTTTTTAGACCTGTAATTATCAGAGCTAGCAATGAAGTGCGCTTTGTTTTTAATCCCCAATTTTGCTTTTTGATGGTAAGTTTTCACGCTTGAGGAAGTTCGAATCTTCTGTCTCTGTTGCTATTGCCTAGATAAAGTCTTACATGGCTATATTCTATCACTCCAAGCTTGCACAGAGAGACAGACACTTAACAGTCTCAAAAACTGATACCATGATCAAAATTGTCTAAGAGTTCAGTCGCTCATCACATTCTACAGAGACTTTGGTGCTGACGGTCACAGAGCGAAATAAACGCTTATTCATTTCTGCCAGTGAATTTTTCATTTCGTTCTCACACTTCCTATCATCGTCAGTGATGAAACATTTTCACAAACCTTTCGCTTTGCGTCTTCAGGGATTAGAAGGTTTTGGGACGCTCCTATAGATACGAATGGTAAACACATGAGATGCAGCTTCCAACACCGATCATGGCTAAGAGCTATGAGAACGTTGCTGTATTGCTCAGGCTTCCACTTGCAAACGTCGCTTACTTCCCAACTGCGGAAAATTATTCGCCTCTGACACATGGAGTTGGCAAAAGCGATCCAAATAAATTTTCACTTAAACATGGGACTTAGCTGAACCAGTTTTACCAAATATTACGAAATAAATATGGTTGGCTTGGACCACTTTTCTAAAGGGGAGGGGGGTAGATAAATAATTTTGCCCCTTGCGAAAAAAAACATCGTCTTAGCCGAGTCACTCAGGTGAGAGAAAAATAATTTACCATGCACTTTTAGATGTGCTTCGCATTCAATCGATAGCCTGCACGTCTGCAGCTTCGAGAAACCGTTTTAGAATGTTCCCTGGAAACGAAGGTAGCTCATCGAATCAGACAGAATAACTTGAATCCTTGTTTAGCTTTGAAAGCGTTTTTACTTTTGTTTGATAATTACAACTGCTCTAGTTAACCATTCTTTAGTCTCAAACGAGCACAAAAAAAATTAGAATAATAATTTAGCCTGAATTGATATAAACAGTTTGAAATAGGTGCGCCTGCTTCTTGTCGTGCAACTAATGTTAATGCATCAAAATGTAACCCACGGCTTGAATGGTCCTGTCTCCATTACCCCCTCCGTGTCGTACCACGTTCCCACAAGAAACGTTTTCGTCAGGATAACCTCCAATACCAAGTCCTATCCTGGAATCACAACTACCGCAGTCGTTTTTCTCGTTAGTAGCGATACCAATTCTTGCCCTCGAGTGGCGACGGCTGGTTCCCTCAACGTTAAACCCCTCTATGTTGCAGTTAACTTGTAAGGAAGCGTCAGAGCCAATCAAATCCTTCCATGCATCACGACCCAGTGAGGTGGCACGATGTTGCCCATCAGCGATCAGTGAGTGCAGAGAGTCTCCCTTTTGATCGATTTTGGCGAACTTGATTAGACTGCCAACCTTCATACCAACACAGACCTTGGAGAAAGGCGTGTCCCAGTAAGTCGCTAACTTGGTCTCTTCTGAGTCAAAGCCAGTCTCTCCTCCTTGAGGTTTGAATGTGTTCTTGTCACTCTGCAAGGCTTCGTCAAAGCTAAAGGTTTGCTAGAAAATTCAAAAAACAGTCAATGGGTTCTGTTTTAAAGAGAGAGTTGAATAAACTTCAAGGATTTGGAATTCCCTCCGACAAAAGGAACTTTGACCTACAGGAAAGAGGATGAGTATGCCCACATAATTTCTTAGAAAAGTCTCGTGCAAAACAAACAACGTGGTATTATTTTCCGAAAAGCAAAAACTTATGTTAAAATATTCCCTATCGCAAGAAAATTTATAAACCGTCTAGAATGCTTTCAGAATATTATCACCAAGTAGTAGATGGCAAAAGATCAGGGGCTACTTTGCTACCAAAGACCACAGCTCTTAGTTTACGATAATAATAACCGTATGTTGTACCTTATTTCCGTCCATCTTTTTGATCATGGTCCATTCACCTCCCCCACAGTCTCCAAGATCAGTCATGTGACAGTACACTTAAGTCTTTTGGCCTTCAATTTCCAGTTCGTAAGCTTTGTTTCCATCGGCCCTGGTTTATTTTATAATAATGAAAACACATATGCTCTTGATTGTGTGAAAAAGAAAGATGTTTAGAAGAACCTATGAATGAAACTACTTAGAAAATCAACAGTTGCTGAAACGTTGCGTCAGAATTTTAAATTTGCCACTATAACAATGTTGCATTGAATATAAAAAAGAAAAATAAGTTGCCATTAACCCAGTCATGCAAACATAGATTTAGACACAGTTTTTGTTGTCCTTATGTTTCTGACCCTTTAAAAACTTCCTTTTCCCCCTTTTTTGTTTTCTTAATTTTGTTTTGTGTTTTTTTCAAACATTCCTGAACTTTGTCTAGGGTCTTGTTTCTTTCCCGCCTCCCTGATACAACAAAATCGGACGACCGCGAAGGGAAAGTCTGATTTCTAATCCTGAGTATGATTACAGACCGAATTGGATGACATGAAGTCCTATTACCAATTAGTCAAAACTATGACAAAATTTGAAAAATAAACTAGACATCGGTTATGCGTTTTCACAAAAAAAAAAAAAAACCCAGTTAACTACGCCTTTCTTATGCTAATGTTCACTACTTAATTGTTTACTGGTTTGTTGCTATAAAGGTTTTCCTTTCGAATGTACCTTTCTAACCTTTTGTAAGGCTGACAATGCTGTGTCTTGTAAATAAAACAATATTTTTTCTAATCATGCTGTGTGATTGTCCAGCCAAGGGAATTCCTTACCCATACAATCGTATTCTGCTCGAGCGAAATATCAATTCGCCTGCAGTGCAGGCGTCTTATTAGGGCGAGTTAACGTTAAGAAGCTGGTGATCGTTTATTCAGCCGGTCAAGCTTTATATTTATTTGGAGTTAGGGACAGCGGTGGGGGTAGGGGGTGGGGAAAGGCGTATTTTTCATTGCCGCAACCTCATCCCTCTCTTGACTTTTGACCGTCACCCACTCCCTTATTGCATATGTCTTTCTTTTACTAGCCTTCCGCTGCCATTATAGTCAAAGATGGCAGCCACGATTTTCTCTGCAGAAAACAAATGTTAAATGCTAAAAACAAATGTTGTATAGCCTTGCTGCTGACGAGATACGCAAGAGGAGATAACGGTCAATATCGGTTATTCGGACTATTAGGGATCGGAAAGCGCACGCAAACAGGCAAGCATACCTAATAATACTAAAGGAATTAGATTAGATACGCATACAGATTTAGGAAAAAAAACTGTTCTTTATCGCTATAGTTGTACTGATCAGTTTGCAAGGATGGTTATCACCGCTTCAAACACACTTATATCACCATAAATATGGGAAAGACTGTTGCGTTTCTTTGCTCGAGTACCTCAACAAGTTCAATTTCGTCCACACGCAACTGTATTGCTGTCGTTTAATCGCATGTTACATGGGCCAATGCTTTCAAGTATCCTGATGTTATTAAGCAATTTGTTTTGTTCCTATCAACAGATCACACTTTGTTTTGAGTTTTATTGAGAAGGTTGCAACGGTAATTTAGAGAGAGACGAGCGATTCCTTGAAGCATGGCAATATGTGGGTCTTAATAATACTGTTAAGTATAAATCAAAACATCGAGGGTTCCTTCCTCGCTAATCTTCTGCAGTTCGAACGAAAGATCGCAAGAATCAGGTGATGGCAGTAGGCTCAGTCATTGCGGAAAATCATTACTAAAGACTAAAATGTCGATTGACCCAGCTGAGTTATCAATTTTTTCCGCCTTCGCAGCCTTTGCCATCTAGGAGTTTGATACAGCATGATCAGTATTTGCTCGTTAAACGTAATATTTTCAAGAACATTTTCCCAACTTCGGAATCCGAAACATTGAGTTCGATTCCTAACAGGGATTCCCACGCTCGTGACAAGACGATAAAACATAATTCTCTCTTTTTTCATACCGAGCTCAAAATTTACTATCTTTCTTATTCTGTTTACAAATATGACCCTTTTGACATTGCTGATCCAAGCAGTATGTAGGGCACGTGTCATAGGTCAATCTGGTGGTGGCCAAGCTCTCCTCTGAGTTCCTTTGACCCAGTGATAGAGCTTTGGAACACAGAATTTGAAGGTCTAATGTTTGATACCTTACAAAGACACGTCGAAATGACATCTCTTTCTATCTCTCAAGTTGTCAACAATAGTTAATTTCAAAACAAACTGTTTCATCGCGTCATAATTGAAGCCTGCTAGAATGTCCAAGGCCGTAAAGTTAATTCTGCTTCGTTTGTTTGTCTTCAGTTTTTCCCCCTTACTCGTAATCACATTCATAAAACAAGTTGTGAAAATCAAGCCTGAAAGACGAATTGACACTTTCATGGAATTTATCTAGAAGAAAAATATTTTTGCACGCGAAATAATCTAGTAGTTGATCAGCCAGCCCGTTTTAAGCTCAGGGTTCGATTAATGGAGAAGAACCAAAAGTGTGCGGTCGTCAAACTGTGGTTGCAGTTATAATTGTTAGGGCAACGTTTGCGGAGCATTTTTTCTCTTTGCCCGATCATTGCCTTTCACCGCCCGTAAACTCCTGCGATCAGTAAACCGATAGAAAGTGCTCGATAAAATAAACCTAATTTTCTGCGGGTTTAGCAATGCGGCAAGCAGTAAGTTTTCTACCAATCAGAGCGCTTCTAGTATCGCATTTTTTTTCGTTGTTTGTTTATATCATTCAATATACAATAGACGACAACAAATATCTTTTTAACCTCTTGATAATCAGACCAACTTGCGTAAAACACTAAAATTACGCTTTCCGCTAGTCAAATTCACCTCAGCATTATGACACTTACCTTTTTACATAAATTGTGGCTAGTTCTTCCAGGACCTAGCTCGTTTAGTTCAAGTGATTTGTTTTTTAAACGAAAATTGTACTGCCTCCTCAGGGACGGAAAACAAATGGTTGCCAACACACATGTCAATTCACCCTCTCTAGCACTTAAACCCCTTATTTCGTGAGTATTCGTTTGATCATTGCGGTTTAAGTCTATAGCCGATTGGTTCGGCTAGCATGCCACTTTCTTTATCAAGTGTTTTATTTAGTCGTCTTCAACGTTTGTTATTTGCGGTAAAACGCTGGTAAGAAAATAAATGTATACACAAACAAAGTTGAAGCGTTTATCGGTCTTTTTTTGTTTGCGTGTTGTTGTTATAGTTGTCTTTTTTTTTTTAAAGGCGTCAAACTATTTTTTGGCTGATTAAATTTGTTTACAAAATATCCCGGGGCAGGGTCCATGTAAATGCAGCAAAGACATCGCAGAAAATCGAAAGATCGGTGGAAGAAAGAATTAAAGCTCATGCAACAAACCTTTTCCCCATTCGTAAAACTCAGAACCCAGCGGTTTCAGAACAAATGGATGAAATAGGACTCTTAGTATCCCCGGCAAAACTGATGCAAATATTGCCATTTTAAAGCAAAAATAAGTGAAAAACGTTGGTAAGAAGTTGAATTTCTGCGGTTTTCTATGTACTTTAACGTCATTCTTCACCTTGCTATTGTCCAACGCTCTGAAAACCGCTCTGTGTAAATCATTAAAGATGCTGAGAGCAGGCTGCTCGTCCATATCCTTCCGGTGTGGTCTTTAGTTCAGGACTGATTTGCGAAAATTACCCCGAGTTTGTCCGAGGAGTGAAAACAAAATTTCCGCGAAAGTGGTTGACTAGACTCATTGTTGTGAATTGTAGAAAGGCAGGACGGCTTTTAAGAGAGTCTCTATTTTAATCTCTTTTGTAATTCAATAAAGCCTTAAGAAGAGCTGAGGGACAAATTTGATCGTGTGATTTGGTCGCCCCGGTTGAGAGTAGCACTTAGAAGGACTGATTCCGCTTCTGAGAGACCCAAGTTTTAATCATGATAGGTTACAGTTTTGAAGGTATGAGCCTCGTAGATTCCAGGAAAATTCGGGCTTTCGAGTGACGATTCCGTCGAAGCCCAGATATCTTTCATTGTTTTCTCTTCATCTACAGGGACCATATCTTCAATTGTATTTCATTAGCGGGTCAAATTATATTTTGTTTCTTTTCTTACCATTTTTTTTTAAAGTTTATTCAAGGTTCCGACTCCTTATTTTTCCACTTAACACTAACCTTTCAAAGAACGCGTAATTTGATTGTCCATCACAATGGACTTTAATATTCGTTTTACTTGTAGTTTAAGAAAGCTCTTAATCTGTTACCATCGAAGAAAAAGGTGTTAGCAAAAACAGTTTTTACATTCTTCTATCTTTCTGACTGAACATAAGAGGCGCTAGTTAAGGGAGGTTTCAGAAGTTTGCAATTCATCAGATGGAAATATGACGTTCGAGCACCTTAAAATAAGAAAATGTTTCAGACATAACGAGCTGAATATTTGATCTTCCATAGTTGATATTGATGGACTTTTTTGAGACTAATTATGTTTCAGACATAAAACATAAGAGATGTCAGGCACGTTATTTCTTTCAAATTAGTTATTTTTTTTTTTAGGAAAACGCCTCTGCTCGTTTGAATTTCATTATAGTATAAAATTTGGCGGTTTTTTCTATTTACAGCCGCTGTTTTGTTCAAAAGAAAATATTTAGATCAAGATCTTTCAGAGAAGATATATTTCATCAATTTCAACGACTAACTGAAAATCACTTGATTAAGCTTTGGATCTAAAGAGTCTTAAGGTGATCAATTACATTCATTCTGATGGTTACTTGTTAATTGTCTCAAAGGTAAATTGCAGTTACCAGCAACTTAAGTGAAGATGGCCCACTTCCTAAGCACCAAGCAGCTAAAACTGACCTGTAAGAGAAGTTTTTCAAATTGTACACAAGAGACGTGATTTCTACTTATGTTGTTCAAAACAATCAAGCGCCTTCCTGGTTTTGGTTTTTAAACGCAGATTCCAACTAAGAATTTAGTTGAAATATTTATGCAAAAACAAATTCCTTGCTGATCACCCATAATACCATTCATTTCCTCGACAAAAAATTCTGACTGAAAAAAAGCCGTTTATAATTAATTAATCTGAGGGAACTAAAGACTTTTTTGCCAAAGATACTCCGAAGAGACCATTATCACAATTATCACGTTATAGAAACGCCTTGTTTGAACAAAGGGATCTTTGTGTCCGTCATAAAATATTAATGGATGGAAATGACAACTTAACTTGTATTGCTTGAAAGGGTTGAGAGTCTTATGTATATAATGGTGTGTGTGTCATTTAGTACTCTCTCACTCGATGCAACTCTGACGGGATCATAACTGTTCCCCAGCTAAATAGATACCATGTCTTCAGTTTATTTCTGTCTGCTATTCCTGGCGCTTTGCTGCATGATAGTTGGGGTTCTTACTTTGCAAGGTAAATATCAGCCACGTAGCTGCTTAGTGTTTGATAAATCAACGTGTCTATGGGAAGAATAATCCTGGACACTAAAATGAAAAATTAAAGGCGAGTTCCCAGCTTGAAAGCGAACTAAAAGTGGTGCTACGGAATAAGAAACTCGTGCACATGATCTAGACAGAGTTAATGAGTAACTAAAGGGTGCTTTGTATTATACTGCCATTGGATGATATCCAATACCTCACACAAATAATAATTCGTATATGTCGTGAAGGTTGATCGAAGCCCATAAATCTAGTCCCACTGGAAATTATGTGTCATGTTTTGTGCGCTGTTAGTAGAATTTCAAAAACATCATAGCGTATTCATACTCCTCTAAAGAAGCTTTAACGGACAGTATACGGTTTAACCCATTCATTGCCAGGCCTAAATCACACAGAACATCGAAAGTTTGCTGACAGACCAGAAGGCCTCCATGCTACTAGAGATATGATCTTAGGCTCCTAGTTAAAAACTTCACTTATGTCATAAAAAAGGAAAAAGCGTCATCTCAGTATCTTTCCTGGCCTTTGATATTTTTAGGAGGCGATTGAATTTGTATTCTTGATTAATTTTTTTAAGAACATAGAGATTTTTTCTTAAATCGTTGATTTTGTTTTTTTTCTTTTGCGCCGTTTAATGAGGGCTGCAGATACCACTAACTAAAAAGGAAATAAGAAGTAACTTACCAAGAGATATATGATTTCGAACACTTTGACAACAGGACAAGAATTATCCGTGAATAATAATTTTAGCTGTGCCAGATTGGTTTTCAGATCAGCCTGGTCGAGATCATGACCAAGGCCGTTATCTGGAATTCAAGTCCTCAAAAACATTTGACAGTGAACGTCTAAAAAACCACTTGATTCGTGAAGTTGACGTCAGGGACAGAGAGTTCTGTGGGGTCCTATGTTACATGGAGCCCAATTGTATCAGTTATAATCTTGAAAAAGAACCAAGTGCCAACAACGAAATGCACAAATGTGAATTGAATAATTCTACTCATGAGGGACACGAAGTGGACCTGGTGAAAAGCCCAAGTTTTGTCTACCAAGGAGCTAAGGTAAGGACTTGGCTCTTTCATTGTAAAAAACTGAGCTTTGATGCTCACTATGATTAGATATGATGTTAGGAAGTAAAGCTCGCCCTTTTATTTCGGAGTGGGGGAAGAAGGGGAGGGGGGTACAGGACTCATCGGCAAATTTTCAAATTAGGTCGCATGAAGTTGCATTCGCGTTTCACTTTTTTCCGTTTGGGAAAAGAGGCTGTGAGTGACCAATAACAAAGGTGATGTTTATGGGAGGAGAATTGTCACAAATTCTAGTTCAAAACTAAAATCTACAAGTGGAGAATTAATAGATGTAAAGGGAGTGGCACATGTTTTTATCAAATCATGCAGATTTTACGATAAACTGACTCACTTTGTAGTTGTGATTTGTTTAATCCCAGAGCGCTTGTGTTAGGAACCCCTGCAAGAACAATTCTACTTGTCAAAGTGGCTTTACTGCCAAAGATTTTTGTTGTTTGTGTGCTGATGGATTTAACGGTCAGATATGTGACAAAGGTAATTCTTGTATTCAACGTGCGTTCTCAACCATCTCAGTTCGTGAAGATACTTATACGCTGCTAAACAAAAATAAGCTCAGGATGTTGACATAACATGTAAAAAAAATAGACCTCAAGTATTGGTTTGCACGACCAAAACTGCAGCACCTTTAGACCGTTAAGTAATTTGAAAATGATGCATGACATCTCTTTGATAAATGTGGATGAGTGTGCCAAAGAAACAGATGATTGCAGTGCTGCTGCCATCTGCAAAAATACCCACGGATCATACGACTGTGCGTGTAAACCTGGATATTCTGGCGATGGATGGTCATGCATGGGTAAATATAGACATATTTAACTGCCAAACGAAGAGTAAGAAAAATAATTGTTGCTACCTCTAAGCCTGAAGCTTACGATCTGTATAGCATGTGTAGCAATGTAAGAGCTGCGACTAAACATTTAATTTACTTTCAGACGATGATGAGTGTGTTTTAGGAGAACGTACCTGCAGCGCTGATGCTCTGTGTACCAACACCAAGGGATCCTACAACTGTAAATGTAAACCTGGATATTCTGGCGACGGATGGTCTTGCATGGGTAAATATTGCCTTATTCAAATGGCAAACGGGGAGTAAACATTTGTTTATATCTCTAACAAGAAGCCAACGATTTCTTTAGCATGCCTATCGGTATAAAAGCCTCGACTAAAGTTCAGTTTACTTTCAAACGATGATGAGTGTTCATTAGAAAAGCACAACTGCAGCGCTGATGTTACAATTATGAATGTAAGCCGGGATATTCTGGATCTGGATGGATTTTCAATAGTAAAGTTGATTTGCTTGGATTGTTGTGTAGATTAAAGGAGAGACAGCTGCGTGTGAATTCTAGGTACGATCAAATTGTTTAGAACACAAGCAAGAAATTCCCGTACTAAAACAGCGAGGTTGAATCTTTCAGATATAAACGAGTGTACTGAGAGACTATCCAACTGCAGTACTGATGCTGTATGCAACAATACCAAGGGAGCGTACAACTGTTCATGTAAACCTGGATATTCTGGAGATGGACAAACGTGTGAAGGTGAGTTCGTACGTGCTCAGAAAACCCTACAGGATATTCATGATGATCAACCGAAGAACATAAGTGAAGGGCTTTAGTCGAGTGAACTTACGCAATGATTGAGGTCCCTTTTGCAGATATTGATGAATGCGGTAAAGGAACACACAAGTGCAGTAATAATGCACTTTGCCACAATGTCAATGGATCATACCACTGTATATGTAAACCATATTCCGTTGTATATTTAAACCATGGCCAAGACGATGGAAATGATTGCATCAAAACTGGTGAGGCTTATGATTATATTTTTATTTTTGATAATTACATTTATTAAGTATTCTTATATACCTAGCAGCAAACTATACCAGCCCTATAGGTCAATCACCAATACCCGAATCTTTTGAGCAGATTTCCGTAACGCACTCGCTCACAAATTAGGCCTCTACAAAGGAATAGTATGTTAATTTCCACCAATATTGTCAAGTTCAGCTTCTTTCTAAGAATTGTTTGTATAGGTAATCACATGATTTCGAGTGAAATTTGGAATAAATAAGCACGAGTAAATTTTTTCAAAGACTAACAAAATTGCACGAGCCCGTAGGCCCGAGCCCCGTTTCGCTCGCAAGTTTTCAAATTTTCAAATTTTTGTTTGTTGTTGCGACATCCAAGGCTCGCATTTGATCGGCTATTTGCGAGTTTCTTTGATTATTGACCAATCAGAATGTCTGGTTTGTTTCTTTCTTTGCACTGAATTAACCCTCTTCTGCACTGAATTAACTCTCTTCTGCACTGAATTACCTGAAAACTGCATTTATCTTAGCCAATCAGAACTGAGTAATTTTTCCATGTATATTATTAACTTAGAAAAAGAGCACATGCTTTGAAAAGAAGTTTAGAGAGATTTGCTACAAGGATATACATCGGTGTTAATAAGGTGTAATGTTAAGAACATAGTTAACAAGAAATCTCATTTAACCTATGTACTACTGGATGCGCGCTATCATAAATCAATAGGTGTGTTCAAGGGAGAACATCATTTTGATGATTTAGCTTAACACGCCCGCAGACAGTGTTACAACGAACGAACTTCAGTCACATCACAAAATAACGAAACATCGACTCTAAGTTCATGATAGGTGTTTTTTCTA